TGTTGCCTGTTTTTCTTAGCTAAAGGCGTATAAGTAGTTTGTGTTCTATTGGATTTCTTGAAAAGGATATTTCTTCTCTTCTTCTCTAAAATCATAATAATTCTCCCAAGTATGAACACAAAAAATTTCTGAGACTTGTAGAAACAGCCTTCGTACTACAAACAATGTTTTGATAATATTATATATAACTCAGTCAACAATAAATAGAACAACGTCGTTTGGATTGGCCAAAATACTTTGCGGTCTCCCATCACTAGAAAAATATATGGGAATACTTGATAATACTCTTTCAAAAAGAATTTAAAATGTTTTTATTCCAAAAAAAATCATTTACTTTGCTCATTCAAATGTTTGATAAATCGAAGATTGTGCCTCTTAGTGTTTCTCTCTTGGGCCTGTCCAAGATGATTCTGCTCGAGGGTTTCCTCTTTTCTTTGTATTCTTTATTTCACTGATATTCGGGAATAACCCAAAAAAAAAAAAAAAAAAAATCGAAAGTTGTAAAAGAACCTTTACGAAAGTCCTTGCATTAAACATTTCAGAGACACATACTTTGATGTAATTTAAAAAGTACCAGAAAAATTTTAAAAATGCTTTATAATTAAAAGTGCTTTAATCAATCTCAAGTAATGACCTTTATAAATCTTTTTTACTAACCCTCGCACGTAATGTGTGCTGAAGCAACCACAAATATATACAATAAAAGAATTTAACTTTAGGATACTCCAAACTTGAAACACATAAAATCAACCCACCTGCCGCCCTAATCTCCGATGCATTGAAGAAACTAATTTAACAAAAACCGTGTTGACATAATCTGATTGAAAGATATATGTATATCACTCACAACATTATAATATGCATGAGGGACCAATACTATGTGCTAAATCTAAGCTAATTTATATCTTATATAAAAAGGAGCTTGGACTTTCATATATCTAAGTAATATAACACTTAAATTCTAAGCACCTTTGGGTGGTCCAATGGTTGATAAGAGACTTTGGATTATATTTAAATATTTTGAGTTGTCTCTTCTCGGATGCTAATAGTGATATTTGAGGTTTATCTGCCATTAACTTTAGGATTAGAAAAATTAGTTGAGAGTAATAAATTGACGAATACCCTTGTCAACCAATTTAAAAAAAAAAAAAGTAACAGAAAAAACAATGGAAACGACCGAAATTCCCATTTTTGTTTTTATTTAATTATCCAACTTACAAACACTTCATCACATGCAAGGCATGGGCAGTTTTAATAGGATATATATAGCCGCATATTGCGGAAATTAAATAGAAATTAATAGGCTGTAATAAATATTAAATTAAAAAAAAATAAAACAAAATATCATGTAGTTATTTATTTATTGCAACTGAAAAACGATTGAGCTCTCATTATTTATTTTTTTCTCTTTCATAATTAGTTTTATATTTCAACAGAGATTGTTATATATTGTCCACCCACATGGCATGGAGTGGACTTATTGGTCTCAAAAAACAGGCAAGAGACCAAGAGGGGTAGTTACAGTTATGATTCGTGATATTCAAAAAAATATATTACCAAGTAGTCTACAATTTAATTAAGTACAAAATAGTTTCTGTTGCTTTCCCCAAAAAAAAAGGGTAAATTACCGTGCGATAGCGTGATATGAATTTTATGGGGTCGATTCAATTGGTTTTCAATATTAAAATAACTGGGAAAATTAAAACATCAAATGGATAAAAGTTATAATAATTATCAGAACATGAAATTAAAATTTCTGAAAATAAAACATTGGTAAATTGTGACTTTTATCTGTGGGGCTACTATTCCTCGCCTCCCTAATGTTTGGGCCTCAATAAAATGACACTCCACATTTACTTTGGTTATTTTCTTTTGGTCGTTACTTAACGGCTCTATGGGACGATTTTTGATATGAGGGGAGGTGAGAAACATTTTTTTTTAATAACTATAGGATGTAAATGACTGAAATCCAAACCTTAGGGGGTGAGAAACCATATCCGTGTGATATTAAAGCAGACCCAGTGTGGGTTGTGAAACGTCTCTCTAATATAATTTTCCAGTATCAAATTACAATAAATCTTAAAATAATATTTATAATTTTTTAGTATTTACTTAGAACTCTTTGGAAACACATAACCAAACTAGCTCTCTTAAGATTTAGATTTAGATTATCCTAATAATTTGTGTGATAATTAATTAATTCATTGATAAATCGAGAAGTTTTGCTGGTCGGTGGAATCACTTTGCCTTAATATAAGGAAGCATCAAGCATATAGTGCTCATAATTTTTTTTTTTATATACCATTTAGGCATAGAATAATAGTATAAATGAATGGTAGGTAGGTGTAATATTAATTAACTATAGAGTATGAGTGCATGACTTCACCAAATCATCAATTTGTTTAACTAATTAAGCTCTATAAAGATATTAATTAGATCTCTTCTTTAACTGAAGATCTTCTCCTTATAAGAATAATAAATAAATAAATCATTAAATTCTTCAAATCTTATAAATTATTGATTGAAAAATACATCATAATAAGAGTGTTGTACCAATAATACATAACTTTAAAAAGCTCAAGTTTAGATTCAGTTTGAAATGAATATTTTTCAATATATCTTAACAAGTTGCATATTTTTTAATTAACCATTAATTCATCGATCATATCTAAATGAACTCTGAACATAGCAAATTAATTTTCGTTTATAATATAGAGTAAACGGCTTTTTCCCACCCAATGTTTGCCTTAATGACCCTTTTCCACCCAAAGTTAATATTCATTTACTACCCAAAGCCAATTCCGGCCGATTCTGGCAGCAAAATTTTTCTCTGTCACTACCATTTGAACCTGCGGTCTCCCTATACAAAGCTCCTCTCACTCCGGAACCTGATTTCTCGTCGATTGTTGGCCACAACAAATCTATGATTTCTTGTTCTTAGTTGATTTTCGATGGTGAATATTCAATTGGTCACCACTATTTGATCCACCGACCTTCACTCTACAAAACCTCTTTTACCCTGGCTCCTGATAACTTGTCGAATGTCAACTGAGAGAGTGAAGTGTATTTTGGGTACTATATAAACTTTGGTTGAGAAAGTGGTATTTTAAAACTTTTTGGGTGGGAAAATGTCATTAAGGCAAACCTTGCGTGGGAAAAAGTCGTTTACTCTGTAATATAATCTAAAAATTCAGTCAGTTGTACCCACAATATTCTCAATATCTATCTGATATAATATTTGAAGACTTTTTTTTTTTTTTTTTAAAGTGAAAAAAAACTATGAAAAGTGAAGAAAACAATTTTTCTTTTGGAGTTTTAGAATAATTTTCAAAATCAAAAAATCAAAAGGTCCTTAAATTTCTCGTTAATATCACACAGCGTTTTGTACTATACATAAATCAAGGTACATACGATGATTGTGTGTAATTAAGGAGAGATTGTTGTCATTCTTTCATCGTAAATTGCATTAAAAAACAGATAATATATAGTTATACTATATTATGTTATACAATATGTTTAACAACATACCATCATCATCAAAAAGTAAATAAATATATAAAACATAAAATGATTTTGTGGGTTGAACCAAGATTCATAAATAATATTCAATAATGATTAGCATATATAACGTAATTGAATCCGCACTACTATGACGGAAGCACATGCAATATATTATTAACTAGAGTAGTTCTCTCTTTGAAATTATTTAATTATGATACGCATATACCAATAAACATATCACACATCATAATATGTGATTTGGTTGGTAAAATAATAATATGATTATACTAATGATCCCAGTAAAGAGAGAGATTAATAGCTAACTAATTAAATAAAAATATCAAACTGAAGATAATGCATGCAAATAAACTAATCATGTTCAATTACTCCCAAAAGATATTGAGAATAGAATCCTTGTTCTATTCTTTTCCAAATAACCCAACACATGCTATCTAATTATTTTTAATTCGTTAATTATATAAAACTCGAGGAAGCTCTTAACAGGAAAAGCACTTTGTAAATAATTGAATACTACTTATGACCATGCTTTGTCTCCCAAAACTAACTCTTATCCGCAAGCAGTCTTTGGCAAAAACCGCGTAGTCGTAGACTCTACAAGAAGAAAAACTTTTTAATCCCCCTTAATTAATAATCCTAGAAAGTTCAAAAAGCATTAAACTTTATAATTTCTTGTAAATTACTCTTTCTAATCCTTTCTGATGGCGTAGTAGGTGACGAATAATTTGACCACCCCAGACAAACTAAATTTACACTCTTTCTACTAGTTGAAGAGAGATATAGAAGTTTGTAAGTGTAAAAGTCTTTATCACATATTCGTTCATGGCTTTGTTTCAAACCCAAAATAGGAATGTACATCTTGAAAATTAAACCCTAACTAAAACAGAAATGCTTTTTGACTCTTTGGTTTCTGATCCACAAGAAAACAATTAATCCCCATATAATTATAATTATTTATATTAAGATTTAAGAGTTTCCTTCTCATACGGCTTAAACAACGTGAAGAGTCACAAAAAATACAGTACTTACTTATGATTATATGTAAAGGTCGGTTGACACACAAGACCAGCCGACGTCGGCAGCCTGAGTCACCGTCTCTATCCGTTTATTCTTGCCAGTAACATTACGCGTCTTACGTTGCCACATACTATTGCAAGGAATTTAATAAATAATGTTCATAACACATAAATTTATAAAATAAAGGAAGAAGATTAATATTTATCATTACAATTAATATACTAATCAGGGAGAGTTACATTATAATGTTATTTGAACTTTTGAAGAAGATTTCATGCAAGGTAAGAGCTTCAGTATTACAATTACAAAATGGGACTAAATTAAGCCACTTCTAATCCACATTGACTTCTGGACCGAGTGCACCTTTCTAATTTTTTTTTTTTTTAAATAAATAAAAAAAAAGACTCAACCAAAAATAGTTGGAAAAAATTGCCATGGAAAGTATGTTCACACGACGGACCAGACTATCGCTCACCATGAACGGTTTCACGGTCGTCGAACGATAGCCGGAAAACCCACTTGGGGAGGGACTTTCTTCTTGAATTTTCTATGGATTGATGGTTGGTTTTCGTGGTTGAGTCCACAAAAGCCTTCAAACGTTGCATGGAGAGCTTTAGAGTTTCTTCTGACATGTTAGCGAAACAAACTCGGAACCACCCTGGCTCGGTGCAATGGCATGAAGAACCAGGAGAGATGTTTAACTTGACATCATAAACGATTTTTTTCCAGAGTTCTATCTCTGCTTCAAATGTGTTAGAGCTCAAAAGATGTCTCATGTCAACCCAGCAAAATAAACCGGCATTGCTCTTAAGGCAGCTGATACCGGCTTTTTCAAGGCCTGAAACGAGCTTCTTGTGTCTTTGTTTAAGCCTCTTTTGGTTCTCCGAAATGTAGTTCTTTGTGAACTTCTTGTCGGAAAGCATGGCTGAGAGGAGATATTGAGTTTGAGAAGAAACTAGGCCGAAGCTGGACATTTTTGTGGCTGCAGCCACAACCATGTCATCGTTGGAATAAATTGCACCAACTCGAAAACCAGGGAGGCCCAGATCCTTTGAGAGACTATACACAATATGTACTCTGTTCCAAACTTCAGTATCCTCAAAGCTCCTTTCTTTTAAAATTTCCATGATGCTAATGAAGCCTGGTGAGCTAAAAACTGTCCCGGAATAAATTTCATCGCTAATTAAGTGAATATTTTTGGCAGAAATGAAGTTGACAAGAAGGTTCAATTCTGTGTGGCTCATTGTTGTGCCCAATGGGTTAGAGGGGTTGGTGACCAAGACTCCTTTAACTTTTAGGTTGCGTTTTTGTGCTAGCTGATAAGCTTCTTCAAGAGCTGTTTCAGTAATTTGGAAGCCATTTGAGCTTGTGCACTGTATTGGTACAATTTCAACCCCAGTTCGCCACTTAAGATCTCTATCAAATCTGCAAGGAATTAAAAACAATATCAGTAACGTACATTTCATGCATAAACGATATTTACTTGAAATTTTAGTAACAGGAAAAGTAATTAAAAAGATACGTACCCAGGGTAGTATGGTGTGGGAAGAAGAAAGGCCTCGCCGGGTTCAGCAAGACAAAACACGAGAGTCTCATTTGCAGAAGTTGCCCCGGCGATGAGCACAAGATTGCTTGGATCAAAAGTTACTTTATTTCCTCTAATTTCTGACATAAAGTCTACCAATGCCTGCATAATTGTATTCAAAGAAGAGTTAGATACACAAATTACAGAGATGTGAAAGTAATATTTTTTTTTTTTGGTTTCATTCAGTGAGGATTTGTTCTTACTTGTTTGAAAGAAGGGAGTCCATGATAATCTTGAAAAAGAGCAAGCTCTCTGAATATGGACTGTCCATCTTTCTTGAAGCCAGCTGCATCGGGGTTTTTAGCGAGCCACGACTCAAGAAGATCAAAAGAGAGCTGCAAATAATATCAAAAAAGGAAACGTTAACTCAAGTTTCCAGATTATATACTACATTCAAGAAACTTACAATTTACAGTAAAGTACTGTATTTAGTAAGTTTGGTTACCTGATTCTCTGCAAGACCCATCTGAATAATGCCTTTAGGGTTCTTAACCTCGTCATAAGGATTGTTCTCATATTCCTGCCATCCTAGGAAATATGAGGAATCTTGACCATGACAATTGCACGTAGCTTTTCTAGACAACAGCTTCATTTTCAGTCTCCGTTAAGTTAACAAAAGAGTATATGACTGAAGCTACAGAAGCCAAGAGGATGAGAGAATATATTTGAGAGAGATTGGTAAAGAGAAAAGAAGTATTGGATTGAAGTTTAAAGATGGTTGGTGGGTTGCAGACTTGCAGTGCAGAACTCTATTACAAATGTTGAATATATATAGTTGTTGTAAGTAAGCAGTGGCCAAAGACTGATTGAGAAAGACACTTTTAACCATACCAGACATCTTTCTTTATTTTGTATTATGAGAGAAAATGTTAAACTATACGCGCTTTGTCACCGCCCGACAGTAGTATGACACACTTCTACACTCCAAGTTCTTGTCCAATTATTAAGGTATGTTACACTAACCAAAAGTCGCGTGTTAAGAGTGTAGTTTTTAAAGATTTTATACTGCTGCTACTGCTAGTGAAGGAAAAGAACGAAACAAAGAGAGAAATGTTGTATTAGTGTTTAGCAAACAAAACCGAGACAAATCTCATTAAAAATGGCTAGACTGACCCACAAAGTCCATGCTAACTTGGACCCTAAACTGTGCACCCTGGTCCATATGCTCCCTAGCTACGTTAGCCCATGTCGGCCATTTTCTCTCTCTTTAGTCTTTACCTTCTCTCCCATTAGTTTGATAATTATATTCCATTTCTTAATGTTGATAAAAAATTTGAAGTCAAACGTTTAAGTAAATCTCCGGTGGGAACAAAGAAATGAAAACATGGTAAATATTCAAAACTTTGACAAAACCGTGTAGGATAAGTTATCTAATTAGAGTTATAATGCGAGTATTGACAGTGTGAATGGTGAAACCATATTCATTATCATTTATGTGGGATTTGCCTTTCTCGGTCTTTCACTATGTCTAGTACAAAACTAACAAAATTTCCAATCAGTTTGGCTTCCCTATAAATAGAGTGCCGTAATATTCATCCAATATGAAAAATAATAGCCGTGTTACATGACATCGCCAACTAAATGAACAGTAGAGATTGATGAATATTTATTATATACAGATATTTGATTTGTTCCTCTATGATAAAGTAAATAAAAAGAACAGGAACTGAGATTTCTGAGTGGGTGAGATTTGAGAAGTATAAATATATATATCAAAGAAAAGCAATTATTACTAACAACTTCTAATTCCGCCCTTTGTTTTGGCTCCCAGATTTCGATGTGTCCCATTCTAAACATCCATGATTACGTGAAGAAGAGAAGTCATGGAAAACCATAAACTTCACCATGAAAGTGATTATAATAAAAGGTTTTTTTATTTGTTATAAAAAGTGCTATCAAAAGGAACTGGTCGTGTTTTCATCAATTGTGTATTCCATGAACAAATTAGCAAAGGTTAGGTGAAGGTGGTAACTGGTAAGAGTCCGCTCCCAGATTTAAAGGACCTTTTCTTCACTTTTTAACATAATTTTAATTTACTTTATCGCATTCGAATCAATGAAAAGTGAGAGACAGCTAAGGATGGTTTAACTTTCTTGGTCCTTAATGGAGATTGAAGTTTATGTGGGTCTCTAATTGCATTACAGTACACTTAAACGAAACAGCTATGAAATAACCCCAAGACTACAAAATAATGAAATATATATAATTTCCCGGTAGTTTGCATGCGGGGCCATTTCAAATTCATTACTAGAAAATCCCCTTAAAACTTACCACCTGGCCTCTTTCTTTTGACGTGTACAAGGTCATAATCTCTTTTTGACCATTCAGAGATATTAGTCTCAATAAGCACTTAAGTTTTATAGACAAAATTCCACGTGACGCCTCAGAAATAGAAGCTAGGAATTAATTACGCACAAAAATCAAATTTGAAGGCGCCCAATTATGGTACTTCTTGTCCACTGGAGTCTACGCTCATATACCTACTGTTTTCTGGGTTGAATTAATTAATCAAGCTCAACGTGTTTTCCGAAATCTAAAATTAGGAATTTCGTGTTGGTAGCAAGTTTACCATTAATATCAAGGTGTAGAGATAAGAGTTAATTATAAGTGTGCATTATTAGAGAGGGTTAAATTATTGATGATAGAGGAGCTTAATATTAAACAAAATTAATTAGTCAACATTCAGAAAACTGTGTTTATTTATGGTAAAATTAATTAAATTGAAAGCTGTTATTCGAAGGCCGAAAATAATTGGGACTTTACTGTAGAGCACTATTTTTCTTGGGATATAATGCGAAACAAAATTTGTAGTATTGGATATGGTTAAATTGGATGGAGAAATTATTGATATATAAATTACACTAGCTATTTTATCTGTTAAGTACCTAAAGAAGTGGATTGTCAAATTGGAAAGTGACTTTTATAGCAAAATTTTGTCTGATAGTATGATTAAAACGTCTTCAGATATTGGGTACCAAAAAGTCCTATTATATAAATTTATAGTGGCAATAACTAATAATCCAATTTAATTCTTTTGTAATCCATGGACAAGTCGTACAACGGGGTCCCCGTTACTTCTTACCATGCAACAAATGGGTCCTCCCCTATGGCTAATGATCTGATTGAAATAATTTGTGATCATAGCTATGGGACGACAGGTGAAGACAGGATGGGAAATCTCTATTTAATCATGTAATATTCATTCACAACCTGAGATTAATAGTCAGTAAATGACGTACATGGAGTGTTGTGTATTAGATGATCATAAATTTGTTTTTAACGGCAGGAAAAATATTGGTTTGTCGATGACATGTATATATATAATATCAAACTATTGTCCTCTACCCTCAGCACCATATTCCATTTGATATGTAAAACTAGAATTAGGAGATTCATATTAGGGCGTTTAGATTATATGAAGCGAACTACTTTCAGAATAATTGAGGGGGGCCACGTGGTTTGTAGTAGAATAAGGGTTATTAGGGCATGTGAAACCCTCGTTTACTTGCCCCCACCACAGCCAATTAAACACATGAATGCAGAATTAATGTAGCTTCAGGGACCATATTCACACCTTGGTGACAACTAACATGATGCTCACGTTAGTCCATTCCTCACACTCTTCCTAGGAGACACGGCCATGGTTCATTTGCTTCCTTTCTTCAATAACGTAGGCCCCACTCACTCTCATCTTCATCTCTTCATGAATCATCTCTTTGTCTTTCTCTCTGAAATTGATGCTTCTGTAACACATATAAGTCAACGATCGATAACCATGCACACCAACTCTATTTACTAAATTTGTAGAGTCAGACCACGTAAATTCCAGACAGCTAGATAACCTAGAGTGAAACCCAAGTCTTCTCTGCACAATCAGATCGAGCTTTAAGCTTTTTTCAACCACTGACTTGATTGTAAGTCGTGAAAGTAATTCAATTATGTTCAGAATTATTCAACGTCGATGTGCTATGTGTAATCAATGTAACATCGCAAAATTTTCTCCATGGTGGATAATATAGGTAATTACGTAACCAAAAGTCAAAAGCTGCGTGTACGTCTTTGCATGGAAGTAGGAGGCTGCGGGATTAGATGAACCTAACTTCATTATTAAATTGTTGATTAGTCCTCATCCAAAGATTTTTGTGCTTGAACTAATTAATGTGGAAATGATGAGGATGATCGATACAATGGCGCATGCGTTGAAAATTAAGTTCTTTGAATTTCGATCACAATTCACATTGATAGAGATATTTATAGAAGATAATTAAGAACCCTTTACAAATGATAATAACGGGGATATTTGTTTTTAATTTAGATTGTTAATGATTTCTACAATCGTGTATAACAATATTTCTTCATTTTTTCATAAAAGCAGGACAAAGAGTGATTTTTCAGGTTCCTTGGTCCTTTTTGGACGCCTAATAATTATTTACTTGCAAGTTGAGGAGAAAAAAAGAGTATTATTCATGAGTCATTCCATATCTTGGTGAAAAACTGGCCAAAGGAGATACATTAATATCCCTTTGAGTTAACGTTATATAGATAGCAAATTTTGTGCTTAGATTCACTTCCCCTTTCATGGTTCAGAATTCAGATTAGTTCTTCTCAACATTCACATTAATCGATCTATAGGGCACATATTGGCCTAGAATACTAAGTATACGTAACTCAAGCTAGCTAGAAGTGGCGCACATATTGGCCCAGAATACTGAACTATGTCCCTAATGTTATATCGAGAACAGAAGTAAACCATAAAAATACATTGAAAAAATAAATAAATATATGTACTCTAGGTCATAAACCATATTGGCGCGCACATATATGTATTGACAATGAAAAATTTACAAAATAGAATTAACATTAGGATTTATATTCGGATTTCTAGGTCAAAATTTCAATAATATTATCCTATGGAAGCTATGACATGTCAATTTATAAACAGAATATCAACTAAAATCGAGATTCTAATTAATAGAGATATAGTCAACTATATATGACTAAAAAATGTCGTACGTACAACTTATATTTAAAGTTGTATATCAAGTTGCGAAATTATTCATTTGAATTTGACAACATAGAAGTCGCACTAGAATTCTGTAAACTGAGAGTGAAAGGAGGACCCATATAAGCGAGTCTTAGTGCTTGTATTGATTTTGTCTTTGGTATAAGCAAGTGGGTCATGATGGATAATAATGAAGTATGGACTAGAGTAAGTGTACACATCAAAGGGCCTGGAGTTTGGAATTTCTTTGCTAATAATTTGGTCTAGCAATTCAAATCAAACAACCCCAACCAAGCCATGCAGCTTGCCCTTATTGCATCTGGGATTACGACTCAGTCCAGCCTAGCTTGAAAGTGATTGTTGAGTCCACTTCAATGCCTTTGCAATTTGCATTACAACTTGGAGACTCTACGCCTCTTCGAAACCCTAACCCTCATCTCATTTCATCATCAGAATAAGCTGTAGCAATTTGGGGTAGTCGGCTAGATCATATCACCCCTCGTGGTGGGGAGTGTAAAGATTGAAGACACCTCAAATAATTCTATTTTAGTTTTACTATATTTGTCTCAAATGGGCCCGATTGTAATGGT